GAGGGCAATGCCACCTTCCCAGGAGGCGGGAACAGCCGCGTGCTCCAGGGCGCTGCTGGGGGAAGGGGTTGGGGGGGGGCAGGTAAGCTGGGCCCCAGGGAAGAAGGACCTTGAAAGCCAGGCGTTGGGCATTCCTCCCAAGGTCAGCGGGGAGCCCTGGAGGAGTCTGAGCGGGTGAGTGAGACACACAGGGGACTTGCATCTGGAGACAGCCTGGGCCGTCTGCAGTGCGGGGAAGACTGCAGCTGGGAGACGGGGAGGAACCGAGCCGGCGAGAGGCAGTGGAGGGTGAAATGAAGCAGTGGTGGGAGAGGAGCCCAGAGCAGACCGGGCGAGCGCAGGGAAACAGCGTCCCTGTCACCCCGACAGGCAGAGCCCCCCAGGACACACGGTACCCCAGGACACAGTCGTGTCGCCGCTGAGAGAGGGGCGAGGGTCTTCGTGGAGCTGGCAGAGAGAAGGTGCAGCCACGAGAGGAATTTGGACGAAGAGAGTCCAAGCAGGGAAGGAGTTTGGATTATAAGAACCAACCCGAATGATCTTTTTTCCTGGAGCTTTTTTCCGAGAGTAAGGACCTGCTTCTTGAGGCCCAGACTGTCAAGGAAGGAGCCCTTTGAGGCTTCCTCCCTGAGGCCCCAGAGAGAAGCAGCAACTTGCCTGAGGTCACAGGGAGGCCAGCGTCATGGGCAGGGTGCCGGGACACCTATGGGCAGACGAGGCTGTCAGGTCACAGGGTCTCCCCTGCTCAGCCCAGACCCCCTTGGTGCAGGTTTTGGGGCACAGAGCAGATGTCCTGTAGCAAGGCCATGTGTGCTGATGAGGATGTGAGCCCTCTGGGAGGCACAGGGTGCTAGCAGGCGCCCCTGAGAGCCCCAGCCCATCAAAGCCTCCCCAGAAAGGGGCACAGGCCCCTGGTCAGACGGGACAGCCCGGTGCTTTGTGGCACCTCATCCCTGTCCCCGGTAGCAACTCCCTCCCCTTTGGGCCTGGCTGACACTCCACCTTCAACCTCCTCCCCTCTCACAGTCACAGATGTCCAGGAACAAGCCTGTCCCTTCACCCCACTCCCAAGGGAAGAATGCAGACTCACTAGAGCCATGGAGGAGAAGCAGCTTTGAGCTCATGTCCACTGTGGGCCAGACGCTGTGCTGGGCCTAATACAGACCATGTAATTTTTCCCTTGGAGCCACCTTCTTTCACAGGCAGGAGACAGCGCAGCTCAGGGAGGGGAAGCGATGCCAGGGGTTGCACGAGGCTGCTGCGCTTTAAGTTTAAGCATATCTATCGCTCTGAGGCTGGCAGGACACAAGTGTTCCTGCCTAGGCTCTGACTTCTGGTTGACTGCCAAGACCAAGTGCTGCTATTAAACTGTTGAAGCCAGTGGTCCTGCAGACCCCCAGGTTAACACAGCAGGGCATCCTGCAGACCCCGCAGTCTCACAGGGCTTCCAGGAGGCCCCCAGGTGTCACAGAGCTCGTCACATAGAAGAAACCCGGGGTTCTAGTCCCATGTTCCCCCTCATTTACTTACTTGATTCTGACGCTGATGTAAACCTCTTCCAACCCAGATCAGCGTAAGGGTATCTACTGAGCCCCTGCACTGTGTGTGGAGTGCGTGGTGGGAAGAGGGGTGGATAGACAAACCAATGACACAGGAAATCCCAGAATAGCCCTTGAACCTTCCATTCTGATCGAGCACTCCTCCACGCCAATCCCCTCGGTGGATCCCTGGCCCAGAGGCAAGTCTGCCCGTCTCTCCACGTGGCCTTTCATTTCTGCACCTGTCACCGCCTCCCACCCCCTTTCCCTCCGGCATCTGCACCACTGAGATTCCGTTTCATGGCACCTCTGCTGTTCTTTGGACCCACCTTGCACAGGCAGTTCTCTTGGCCTAAACCTCTCCTCTGGCCCTCTTCCCCCGCTAACAGTTTCCAAGTCTCAGCTAGCTGTCACTTCCGGTAGAAGCCGTCCTTACCACGAGATGCCTGTACTTGTCCATCACATGCACGTCTCGTACCTGGTGGGTGGTATTTGCTACCTGTCTGTCTTCCCAGTAAGCTCTTTAAGGGCAAGGACCCTGTTTGCTCCTCCACGGTAGCCCCAGCACGTCACATGGAGCCTGCTGAGGATGACATGTCCAACTCAATGTACTGAACGCATGGACTATAAATAAGTGGTCCTATTCCTCAAGGAACCTACAGATTATTACATAGAACTGCACGCAGCCAGTGCATGGAGTAGTAGGAATAGAATCAAGTGTCAGAGCAGGAGAGGAGAGGAGAGACAGTGATGAAGTCACAAGACGAAAAGAGGTTGGGGGAGCCTCTCAAGAAGGTACATGGCTAAGTAGAGTTTTCAAGAGTGAGAAAGAAGGGCTTTTCCATGAGCAAAGGGAGGGACATTCCAGGAGAGCAATCAGCCTGTCCAGGGCACAGAGGCGTTAGTGGTGGGGAGGGTCAGAGCAGCGCTGGGAGAGGAGGGTCATGGGCAGGTGGCCATTGCTAAAGGATGCAGAGGGACTGAGGATGGACATACAGGTGGGCAATGGAGCTGAAGAGAGGGGAAGGAGGGGCATGTGCCGTATGAGGGCTTTGCCTCTAACCCCCAGGAGATGGTCTTCGTGCAGAATGAGATTGGTGGAGTTCAGGCTGGCAACCTTGAGAAAAATTGATTTGAGGTAACATGGATGGAGGGAGGAAGATGAATCCAGAAGGATTTGGGACTGTCCAGGGGAGAAATGAGGAGAGTCTGGATCAAGAACAGGGCAGGGGAATGGAGAGAAGGCGAGGCTTGAGACGTCTCAAGAATGAAGAACAGTTGGTCGCTCCCTGGGTGTGGGGAAGAGGGTGATGAAAGCCTGCGGAGTGATGGGCAGTTTTCTGACGTGGATGACCGACATGAGTGATGTGACCATCTGAGAGGAGGAGAAAGAAGGAGCAGGCTCAGGGTAGGGGAGCTTAGGGGGTCCGCTTAGAACACACAGATAAACTGTCCAGTGGGTGGGTGGATTTTTGTGAGCATAACTTAGTGAGAAAACTTAACTTTAGCCAAATAGACAGGAAGCTACAAAACAAAAATTGCTGAAGCAAATAAATGGAAATGGAGAGAAATTTACAGTTTCCCAAAGGAGTTACTTGTTCAGCAAAAAGATTCCTCATATAGTTCCTTCTAACTTTAGTCATCTCTAGTGCAATAAAATGTTATCCAATTTATATCAATTTAGTTTTGACAAAGAGGTTCTTGAGGACGTGGCTATCGTGTTAAGACTGGCCTGACATAGGCAAGTGATATTACAGCTCTCAATCCTCTGAACAATTCTATAGGGTACAGGTAATTATCCCTATGTCACAGAGCAGAAAAAAAACCTGAAGTCTAGAGAGGTTAAAATTTTGCCCACCGTGAACGTTAGAGGTGATGCAGGCCCAACCCTGACCTACTCCAAACTGCCATCAGGTGCTTAGTCTAAACTCCTCCTGATGCTGGAGTCTTGCTGGATGAGATCTTTCGGGAGAGCAGGCACCTGGAGGACCACGGTTGCAGGCAGCTTTCTGCTCTCGAGTTCCGTTTTTTGAGGGTCATCACTGCAGTAGTAAATACCTCTCACTAGGGAGACGCAGGGACAAAGGGACAAAGGGACAAAGGATGTTTGGAATGATCTCTAAGGTGCAGGAGATCACTTCTGAAGATTAAGATTGGGGCTTTGCAATCTGTTTTCACTGTCTCACTTCTTAAAAAGTGAGCCTATGAAGCAGAAAAAGCGAAGAGCGTGGGATCTGGGATTTGTATTTGGGATTGTGACCTGACTTTGAATTCCAGGCAGAACACAGACTAGCTGTGTGACCCAGGGTACGTTACACAATCTCTCTGAGATCTGTTTACTCACTTACTTATAAAACAAGAGCACTAGTGTCTAAATTAGGAGGTTACTGTGAAAATCAAATGAGATTACAGGAGAAAACTGTTAGCTGTCTTGCTTGTCCTCATTCTATTGCTAATGATGTGCGGGGTTAGAAGGTCACTGATTCAGGGGCTGGACCCTCAACCTACCTCTCCTCAATGGTTCTTTTCTCTCTTGCAGACTTTTCATTCCAAAATGCCATCTTCGTTTTATCAGGCCTTCTTAGTTGTTGTCCTCTGTGTTCCAGTATATTGTGTGCCCCTATCCAGCTCCCCCAGCAGAGGATCTGTCTGCCCTTCCCCCAGAAAAAGTAGTCCTGCCTCCCAGGTGTCCTCCAGCAGCACCAACTTTGCCTTCTGCCTGTACCGGAAGCTGGTTTTGAAGGCCCCGAGTCCAAACATCTTCTTCTCCCCCGTGAGTGTCTCTGCTTCTCTGGCCATGCTCTCCCTTGGGGCCCGCTCAGCCACCAAGACCCAGATCCTCCAGGGCCTGGGGTTCAATCTCTCACACACACCTGAGTCCACCATCCACCAGGGCTTCCAGCATCTGGTCCACTCCCTCGCTGTCCCCAGCAAGGACCGGGACATAAAGATGGGGAGCGTCCTCTTCATCAGAAAGGAGCTGCAGCTGCAGACAAATTTTCTGGACAACGTCAAGGGGCTGTATGAGTCGAAAGTCTTTTCTACAGATTTCTCCAACACCTCAGCTGCCCGGAAGAAGATCAACAGCTATGTGAAGAGGGAGACCAAAGGGAAGATTGTGGACTTAATCCAAAGCCTCGAACCTCAGACAGCCATGATCCTGGTGAACCACATTTTCTTTAAAGGTAAAGCTCTGAGAAGTTGCTTTTGGTTTTAATGTTCTGCTCCTTCCCCACCCCCAGTCAAACAAGCTTCTTTTATTACTGTATGTTTCCAATATTTATCCATGTTGTAGAACATGTATCAATACTTCATTCTTTTAATGGCTGAATAATATTCTGTTGTATGGCTATGCCACATTTTGTGTATCCATTCATCAGTGTAGGGAAATTTAGGCTATTTCCACTTCTTGGCCATTATAAATAATTTTGCTATGAACATTAGTGTACAGGTTTTTTTGTGTGTATATGGACATATGGTTTTAATTCTCTTAGGTATTTTTAAGAGTGAAATTACTAGATAATACGGTTACTCTATGTTTAACTTTTTGAGGAACTGAGAATAGCTTTCCACAAAGGCTGAATCATTTTAAATTTCTGTGAGCAATATTTGAGGGTTCCATTTTCTCCAAATTCTCCCCGACACTTGTTAACATCTATCTTTTTATTATAGTCATATGGTGTCTGAGGTGGTATATAACTGCAGTTTTGGTATTCCTGTCTCCGACAACTAATGATGTTGAGCCTCTCTTCATGTGCTTATTGTCTGCTTTGTAGACAGCATTTAATTGGATCGTGTGTTCATTCTTTTTTACATTTCATTATAAGTTATATCTGATAATACCTGTGATTTGAAATATGCATACTATTTGCTATGGGGTTGCCAGTTGGCCATATAAGAATTGTTAAGCATTTAGTCTTTCCCTACTTTTTCCCTACTATACTTTGATATGATAAGTTTCCATAACTCCTCCCTCTGATTCTGCATTCTTCACTCCCAGACTGGTAGGCCTGTTTAATATGTGGTTGTTCTTCACTGTTTTACATATTGTAACTGAGAAGACAAATCCCCATCTACTTTATTTTTAATGTGTTAACTCCCTCAATAATATTTAGATGTTGATTAGCATTGATTAAAATAGATAGATTAACTCTGGATAATCATTAGCATTGCAATACTCCAACATTTCACCTGGCATAATCTGATGTTCTTTATTCATCAGGTCTACTTTAGAGCCCACCTTACGTACTGTATATTTCTTTGCATGTTTCTTGCACATTTTTCTGAATTTCTAGTTTTTGGTTCATATTTTTTAATTGAAGTATAGTCGATTTACAATGTTGTTAATTTCTGATGTACAGCATGTATTCAGTAATATATATATATATTCCTTTCCATATTCTTTTTCATTATAGGCTATTACAAGTTATTGAATATAGTTTCTTTATGTGGATTCACGTTACCGTCTAGGGTCATTTCCTGAAGGACTCCGTTTCATATTTCTTATAGGCTGGTCTGCTAGTGTCTGTTTTTGTTTATTAGAGAATGTCCTAATTACATCCAACTATTTGGGGCTCCCTATTTTGTTCCATCGATCTATTTGTCTATTCTTTTACCAATAACACACTGTCTTGATTACGGTAGCTTTATAGTCTGTCTTGAAGTTGGTTAGTGTCGGGCTTCCTACCTTGGTCTAGGGTTCTAGCCCTGCTTTTTTTCCTTACGTGGCTCCCAGGCTGCTGTATCTTACTGCAGACAAAGGCTATTATTTTTTAAGGCTACTCAAGAGTTGAGGAGTGGAGAATGGGACTCAGGCAAGTTAAAACAGCACAAAGCTCACTGTTCTTACCAAGATTGAGCTGTTTTTCTTTCATAAACTATTCTCTAATTTTCTGAAAGCATTTGGTTGATTTCCAGATTCCTGAACAAGTTAATTCTGACCCTCATTACTTTTATGGGGAAAAGAGTTTTCAGAGGTTTTTACTTCACGCCTTCTTGCTGTCTTCACCTCGCTGATTATACTTGGACATAAAGCCCTCCCTTCTCTCTTTGTGCCAGCCAAGTGGGAGAAGCCCTTTAACCCTGCATATACCACTAAAAGTTTCCCCTTCCTGGTGGACGAGAGGACTGCTGTACATGTTCCAATGATGCACCAGGTACAGCAAGTTGCTTTTGGGGTGGATCTGGAGCTGAACTGCTCTGTGCTGCAGATGGACTACAGGGGAGACACCGTGGCCTTCTTCGTCCTCCCTGGCCAGGGAACGATGAGGCAGCTGGAACGAGCCTTGTCAGCCAGGACAGTGTGGAGGTGGAGCCACTTATTCCAGAAGAGGTGGGCAGCAGTGTCAACTTGCTGTGGCCTGAGGGAGGTGATGGTGTACATCTAAGGATGGGGGAAGATCATGATAACAGCTGTTGAATAATCACTCCTGTTAACTGAGAACCAACTGCATGCTGGGCAGGGAGCTTCGTGCTCTGTGTACATGCTGTCACTTAAACTTCGCCATTACTTGACACATAAGAAGTGTTATCACCCCCATTACAGATAAGGAAACAGAGGCTCCAAGAAGGGAAGTGAATTGCCCAAGGTTGTGTAGCTAATGTGTTCTTGCAAGAGTCTCACGTCAACTGTACCTGTTCTGTGCTAGCAGAGTTCACTCTATCATCCAATTCAATATTGAATTCCATGGAATTATTCTATACAAACACACACAAGAGCATTGCTGCTCACCTATAAGATGACGATAATAGTATTATTAAACTCATAAATTGTTAAAAGGATAAAACTAATTGCTTTGTATAAAGTGCTTAGAAAAAAACCTCAGAGATAAGTGTTCAGTAAATGTCAGCTCATAGTAATATTATTATTAGTTCTTGTTATGGAAAGGATCAATAGGATATTAACTATCAGATAAAAGGGTATGTCAAAGTCTTGTGCACAATCTCTTAGCAATATTTTCTTGGCATTGTTAACATCAACCCCAGGTGCTCAGAGTCTAGGAGGGGAGAAAAGATAGTATCAGGGATCATTGTAATTCAAGAAAGACAAAGGTCAGTGCCCCAGGGGAGGGTGGGCAGAGTTCGGAGGAGCTTCTGAGCAAGGAGAAATCACTTTCAGCCTGGCATTGGACGTGGTGCATTTGAGCCACAAGTATGGGTAGGACATGAAGGATGACAAAACATAGAGGCTTGGTTGGGAAGGGCATTTTTGGTAAAGGAAACAGTGCTAGCAAAGATGCAAAGTAGGGATGAAAGGACCCTACAGAATGTTTCAGAGTTTTCTTCTCTCCTCATACTGCAGCAAGGGCTGGAAAGAGGAAGAGGAGGCAGCACGGAGGCTGGGGGTGGAGGTGGGGGTCTCTAAAGTGTAGCAGACGGAGCACAGAGAAGATGGAGCTGGCCAAGCCAGTGCAGGAGACGGAAGGGAAGAGAGAGCTGTCCATTGTGCTAGATGTCAGACGAGAAATTCCAGCAATGAGGAACTAAAGTGTTCATCTCACACTTCTGTCCTTTCCCTTCTGCGACTCACTAAGTACATGGCCTTGGACAAAGCATGGTCAACTAAGATTTACCATCTTTAAAACGGAGATAGTGTTAATGAATGTGCTGGGGAAAATGCCTGGCACATAGTAAATCCTCAATAAATGTGGTCTATTCAATAAATGTGGGTTTGGGAAAACCACTGCCAAGGAAGAAAAAATTGTGCTGAACTTTAGGGCTATGCTGTCCAATATAGTAACCACCAATCACATGTGATTATTTAAATTTAACTTATTTAAAATTAAGTACAATTAAAAATTTAGTTCCTTGTTGGCACTATCCACATTTAAGTTTCTTAATAGCTACATGGGGCTAGTGACTACCATACTGGACAGAACAGAGATAGAATATTTCCAACTGTACAGAAAGTTCTGTTGGACTTTGTTGCTCTCAGCCAGGGTTTGTCTCAGAAAGAGTGGTGGGGAGGCACACTCTGGACCTGGGCTGGGGTAGAACCACCTCCATCACTGCCAGTGCCTCCCTCTGGTCTCTGTCATGGGCACCTTTGCTGGGCCCCCTTCTCAACTCTGCCCCTACTTCACTACGAAGCCCATTTTTCATCTTATTTACCTTCAAAGCTGGACTTGCTCATCCAGGATGCTTGCTTCCAGAGCAAGCTGGGTTGGTTGTCTGGGATGTGTTGACCCCTCCAGCATCAACCAGTTCCTGGAGGAAGTGCAAAATCCCCTGAAATGCCACCTAGAATGGGCTCCATGGGCTGGTGATCTCACTTTGTCTTTTTTTCTTTTCCACAGGTGGGTGGAGGTGTTCATTCCCAAATGTTCCATTTCTGCCTCCTATGACCTGGAAACCATCCTCCCGAAGTTGGGCATCCGGGATGCATTTGACAAAAATGCTGATTTTTCTGGAATCACAAAGGGAGGATTCCTGCAAGTTTCCAAAGTGAGTTGGTCAATGAGCATATTGGCCTGAAAGAATGAATTGGAAGGGCCTGTAGAGACTGGTTCATCGAGGGCTCACATTTCACTGATAAGGAAACAGAGGCCCCAAGAGGCAAAGTGATTTCCCTGTGCAGAAATAGGTCTGGGTCTCACGGCTGCCAGGCCTGTGGCTTTATGGCCATTGTACCACAGATATACAGGCATCTTTTATTCCTCTTCAAATAAGTGCTCCTAAGGTCCAACTACAGTGCTGTGGGAATCAGGCCTCCCTTCAGCAGGCGGCACTTCTGCCCCGACATCCATGGCGGACAAGCAGCCGCCCACCTGGCATTTGAACTCCCCTCCCTGCAACCCAGGTGCTCACACTGAGGTCACAGCATGGCTGCTTGCGAGGCATGAGAACCCGGTAGATGGGTTGTGCTCGATCTGCAGTTGAAAGAAAGAAAGAAGGGAGAGAGAAGGGAGAGAGGGAGGGAAAGAAGAAAGGAAGGAAGGAAGGAAGGGAGGGAGGGAGGGAGGGAGGAAGGGAGAAGAACAAGAGAACAAAGAGGAGA